TTTATCAAGACTGATGTTTCCAAAGAGGACGAAGTCGAAGGTCTCTCACAAGTTCATGAATTTATATTGTGCAGTGTTGCTGTCTTTGTCTAGGTTTATTCATATTAATTACTGGACACAAAATACACAAAGAAAACAAGACAATCTCTGCTGGAAAGCAATGAAAAACAAGTGGCTCAATTTAGACACAAGATCATAATTTATAATATCATTTTAATGACATTCTAAAATATTGATTCTGTATTAATTCTTTCAAACATAGGAATCAAATAACAAAATAATGTAAGAATTTCATTCAGACTCATTAATCAACTGTCACATCATCAAAGTAAACTTACTTAGTAATAAAACCAAACAGTATTTTACATGAATCTCTGTAACTAATGCCTATATTATGGATCACTATTCATAGCTACTTCCTTAAGCAACAAACTATACCAGTAATCTCCAGAAATAAATAAATAAATATTCAATGTTCAACATGAAATGTTTTTCCTACTTGAGATTTTGGAGACTGGAACTAAAAGGTTAAAACATTTGGGATGCAGTTTCACTGTTTCATTTTTATGGTTTTGCCACTTGTATTGTCTCTTATAATTATCTTTTCAGAGGCTTTCAAAGAAACTATCAAGAAGTTTGGTAGTCTAGACTTTGTCATCAACAACGCAGGTTTATATAACGAGAGAAAATGGAAATATGAAGTGGCTGTCAATCTAGTAAGCTGTAAAAATAACTGCATATATTGGGGGCCACGCATTACATGTCATGGAACATAATATTTTTACATAGTGTATCAATGTATACCCAAGGGGCAGGACTTTAAAATACAAATCTATGAAAAGACTTTTCCCCTTTTTATAGGAGGCTAAAGTAATTATTATGTCTAATTTCACAGTTTTGTACTCTTTTGCCTTAGTCATTAAGAATTTAATTTTTATCTAATACATAAATCCCCCCTACACTGCCTGAATTCCTCTCTGCCCTGCTGCTAAGCAACCAAAATAGATTTTCATAAATCAGAAGATTATCACTGTTAGATTGGTTGGCAAACATTAATTCATAAAATAATCACAATGAGATGCCACAGCAGCAAATGACAGAACATTAGTTAACCGGAATATACATGTTACAATAAGTAAAAAACAGCATTATGTTACAGTACAGCACAGTTCATCAATTAAACAGGTGAAGACTGAGTGCTTTCACAGGTCAAACAAAGTAAGCATGCAATAACACCAAATAATCTCTGCAGCTCAAACGGCATCATTAAATAACAATCTCAAACTAAGATGGCTATCTTATGGGTTGTAGTTCCATGCTGTCTCCATCATTACCCTGAACCCTGATGATGGAGGCAGTAATAATCCCTGAAACATTGGTAAATTTCTGCCAGACTACACAGCGCTACAACCCAGGAGACAGCCTTCTTCATACCTAATGCTGTGAGAACCTCATATCCTACTAAAACGTCAAACTGAACAAAACTGTGGTTTCACATATCTGAGCAAGCAGCAAACTATCTTAATATTCAAATTACTTTTACCTTCTATAGACTGTTACAATTTAATATTATCTTTTTTCTGCAACATGGCTAATGTGAATTGTGTTTCAGTAATTTCATTTGTTTACAGAATGGGGTTATCCATGGTACTCTAATGGCCTTGAAATACATGGATATATCAGCAGGAGGAAAAGGGGGCATAGTGGTCAATATAAGCGCAATAGGTGGTCTAGGAGCAGGAACATATGTTTCAGCAATATACAATGCCACACACAGTGCTGTTATTGAACTAAGTCGTGCTTTTGGGGTAAGAAATGCTACGAGAATCATTGTGCCTCTATGACTGTGACATGAACCACATTTATGCTGCTAGAGTACCCAAAACCAGAGTCATGATTCCCATTCATTACCATCAAGAACTCTCACAAGCTTAATCATTTGGCACATATTCCGCACTTATCACATATAATGTATTTCAAAACTTTTTGCAAGTGTCAATATTGAAGTAAGCATTTAGCATTCCCTTCACTGCCCTTCTGTGTTCTTTATGTGAGCAATATTAGCCACTGTCATTCTAATTTTTATTGTTCCCTCGTTTAGACTATGACATTATTATTGTCACTATCATCATCATCCATACATGTGCCCATTCTTCCATGATATATATTTTGTATATCTTCCATATCTTTGTGTCTGTACCCAGCCTTTCTCAGTGAACATTTATTTGATATTTTTATTTCTCATAACCTGAAAGTAATCCTATTTTTGTCCAAGTTTTAATGCATATCCATACAACTGTATTCTAATTTACAGTTCACATTTAACATTTATTTGCTCTGCATCATGTTTTACACATGGCCCAGAAGACTCTTTGTATCAAGGTGGCAGCCCCCCAGTATACAAATACAAGTCCCTATTCCATATGATAAAGGTTCAAATAGATACATTTGTTGGATACATCTGGACTCCACTTGTCAACTGACCTGTTCCACAAACCCTCTGTACTACAAAATATTGGAAAAGCAACTACAAGTTTCCTACTTTTTCAGTGGAATTGTGGCATGCTTTATAAAGTAAAATTTACCCATTAGTGTCCATGCATGCACTAGCACTCAGCTACACTGTCATTCTAAGAGATAATCGTCGTCTGGGAAGACCACAGTACAGGATTTCAAATCCAGTGTCCCCACTATTGAATTTGAAAAGGTCCATTATCTTTCATCATTAAACACCTAAAAGGCTAAAATTTAAGGTGGTTAATTTTTCATGTTACAGTCAGATAATTTCTATCAAACTACTGGAGTCAGAGTGATGGTCATTTGTCCAGGTTATACAGAATCAGAGATCATTCCACATGATCAACAACAGTTACTTGCAATGCTTTACAAAGATGAGTGGGTGGACGACTTTTATAACTTAATACAAAGACTTTCACCTCAACAGAAGTAAGTACAGTTTATCTGGCACTAAATCCCAAACTTGTAAATTTAGTCTGAGTAAAACCATGAAAAGCTGATAAGAGGATAAATCTGGATTGATAAGAATTATATGAAATACATTATGATTGAGCTCTTTAATGCGCTCAGAGTATAATCAAATTTTGTGGCTATAACTATACAACTTAATGCTCAGTCTTTGTACAAATTTCAGTTTTCAATGTACCTATACTACTTGAAAGATGTCAAACCTAAAGTTCACACATTAACCAAATATGGTAATTATATGAAATTACAAAAATTAACAACAAATGCCTTCAGTAAAGAACTGGATGATAAGTGCACAAAAGTCATTTTTAGAAAGTACTTCTTATTCACTTTAATTTACAGTTCATAATCATCCTCTCATCTCATTCAGTCCTGCATAACAAATGCAGTGGTTACAGCATCTTTCAATAATCTTACATTTTTTCTTCTTTTCCCACAACCAGAGCAGAGAATGTTGGCAAAGGTGTGCTGCACATGATTCGCGAAGGGACGCCTGGTTCAATATGGATAAGCATCAACAATAAACCAGCATATCAGATTGAAATCCCTCAATACGAGAAGCTGAGGGTGTAGTCGGAAGTAAACATAAAGTGACATTCGCTGCCTCACTTGTTATAAGCAAGTGAATGAAGATCCATGGTGCAAACAATTTTAGCCTCAGTTCAAATATATTAAACTGATTATATAATTTTTTTGTTATCACCTATAAGTGCAAAAATCAAATTAAGGGAATTTTACTTTTGTTTCATGATCTTAACAGTTCACATTTAATGTTTACATTATAAATATCTCCAATAAAAATATGTGTATGAAGCATACTGCAAGATTATAGATGACTGGATTTTGTTAAGTGGTGAATAATGCAACTTTAACTTGTGGAGACCCACTGAGATGAGATACAGAGTGAATCAATTTTTGGCAATGTAAAAAGTTTTCACTTGGATGAATTTACTTTTCAAGTACTACTTAATTAGACTAAACTGTTACTGAGTTTTACCTAGAGTCAACCTTCTTTCTCTAATACTCCTTGTCGTCAGTAGGGCGAAATTCTTTTCTGTTTGTGACACCTCAAATATATTTAAGAAAGTAGAGTACAAGCCAAAACCACGTAAACAAATAACGGGCATTTTATACAAAGAACTATATGTGTTTCTGGGCTCACGTCGAGCGTAACTCGCTAATTATGTATTGGGGAAAAACTGCTTCCAAACACAAGTTATACAGAAAACTGAAACACTATTCAAGTCCGACATTCGTTTCCCGTAAATCTCACGGATCCAGTGGAACCTAAACAAAAATGACTTTCACAAATGTTGAGCGAAAAACCACTGGTGTGGAATCGTAGTACATCTAGTCTCTTGAGGGGTTGAGCGAAAAACCACTGGCGTGGAATCGTAGTACATCTATAGTCTCTTGAGGTGAATATAAAGAATTCCAACTTATAAGCAATATTATTAAATTGCATCTTGTACAGGGATAATCTGGCCTAATGAGACTATTACCCGAGACGCTAGAGTGAGATGAGAAACAATTATAATCAGTTATAATAAAAACAGCGTTTAATATTGATAATTGACATGCGTATGTCACAAAATTAATGTACGATTATCACGACCCTGGGTACCGAAAATATGTTCGTCCTTCAATGGTCTTGAAAGACAGACACAAACAAAATGTTTCCCTGCATACGATCCTTCAGTGAACCTCTCACTTCACTGACAGTTATCAGAATTATGTATTGACTGTCTTCAGGCAGTATGAACAACTGCGCGTTCAACATACGCGCCATTAACCACGTTCCATTTACATGACATTCCCCGACTGATATATCATGAGAATAATCATAATAATAATAAAACCAGACTAATTCATTTTGTGGAACTCGAAAACAAAATCACTAAAAGGTATATTTCGCCAGAGGCAAATTAATGGATACATGACGGGAAATTTCAGAAAAGGTCTCACAAATAAATTTTATTGATTTTTCTAAAAATGTGCAAAACTTTGATTGTATAGTTTACATTCGAACATAAGGCTAAAGGTATAGTTTAGCGAAATTATAAATAATATAAGTTATAGAATATAAAGTACCGATCAAATTTCTGTTGCATTTCTAGAATTTACATCCATTTATCCTGGTGGCGGGCATTTGTCAGTGTAGCTCAGCAAAGACTTCAACAATCGATAATACATTAAATACACTTACTTTATGTATGTGTATATATACATGGGCTTCTACTTACCTTCGGAATTCAATTCCTGCATTCCCATGGACTGAATTTACATGTCGGAAATTCTTTGCTCAATCGCTAAGACTGTACACACAAGCCAGAAACCGGAAGGCCACTGAGCTCAGAAGCACACGAAGGTCTGCAAGAAGAATGAAAAGAACCAAAATAAGTAAGCGCCATGATGATGTAATAGGAGGTGCTGGATCTTAATCGAGCACATGAGATCCTTGTGTATAATAAATATAATTCAAGATTAATTATTAATTAACTAACTAACTAGAAGGCTTACGGAACCCGAACGTTAACCACCGAATTAACCAAAGTCCTTCTGAGGCTTTGTTAACCCAACCCCCAAGCTGGAGAACCACCCCTCGTCGGCTGTCCGCGACTGCTTGTTCAATATATTCGCAGCTAACCTCCGTAACTGCAGACTGTTCGTCCACGTGCAACCAGAGGACACGCCATGGCGTGGTGACAGAGACCCACTTTAATTATTAGGCGAAACATAAATACCATAAAGAAAACACGAAGGGTCTACTACACGCTGGTACAGCGACTCGTCTGATAATAAACACAGAGAAAACTAAATATATGTCCGTGTTTCGTCGCCATAATCCAGAACTAAATCACATTATAAAGATAACTAATAAACTCTTCGAAAATGTGACAAAGTTCAAATAATTCAGAACAACAGTAACAAGTGAAAACCACTGCTAAATTACGGCAGATTAAACACGGGAAATGATTTTACCACCCGGCTCAAAATATTCACGTCTTCAAACTAAACACCTACAAATAAAAATATGCCACAATGTGAATTTTACACATTGTTTCAAACGGTCTCTCGCCCTAATATAAGAACACAGGTGAGGGTGTCGAGAACAGGATGCTGACAACAGTATTCGAGCTTCGTCTGCACCAGAATCTCACTGTTTTATTGGGGCAAAGCATCTGTCACTCATGGGGAAAATAAAAAAAAATACATACAAATTTATTTTGGAAACCTGAAGAAGAGACACCACATGAGACAAGCGTCGATGACAGGATAATATTAAACTGTGTTCTATACAAATATGGTGTAAGGATATATACATATACTGCTTATAACTAGCACGAGATACGCTGATGGCCGAGCAGTGAAATTCATTCCATCAAAAGTGACATTTATTAACAGCTCAGCGACAATCAGCTTCTCAAGGAGGACTCTGCTCAGTGACGTTAGTTGTGAGTTACAAAGTTGCGTGTGTAATCAATCCTACGTTATAAAAACTGACAAAAATTTACACAAATATCGGGACAGTGGCCTTCAATACAACAACACCGGAAATGTCATAATTAAAAGCAAGATAACAATTCAAAATATCGCACGTGGCGGTGGGGTAGGCATTGCGCATGGGTACGCAGGTTGACATCCTGCTCTTGTAAAATAAAAAGTTCCGGAATGTAGGCACGGCGTCACAATTCTTCGGCGCTCGAGAACATCTGACCTTGAATATTTGGGAATGGTGCTAGCGACGTTAGTGTGCTGAGGTCAGTAACTTTTGACCCTGGCGTAGTACTAGGCCTGCACACGCCCCTAAAGCCTGAATTTCCCCTCATATGACGTATAGGGTTCCAAAAAATTATTTTCTCTGCAGATTTAACTGTATGACAAGAGTTGTAGAGGACACTGTGCAAATATCATATCATATTATCGAATGTTGTGCTGTATCGTACAATAAGGGAACTGTTGGTTCTCACATGGGAAATTCGGCTGTAGAACCATTTTGTATTTGGCATCCAGTCTGAGCATATATGCCCTAAAGCAAAGTGATCGTTAAAATTGTCCGATATCGATTTATCAGTTTTACAACTGTTTCATGCGTACGGACTGACGGACATACAAACAGGCGGGCGGAAAAAACAGTTTTAATAGGAGCTCCGCTGTGGTTCGAACGCACATAAGAACATTTTCTTTGCTTCTTGATAAGCAGACCTACTGTCAACGGCGAGTCAGTATGCTGCCTAAAAAAACTTATTTGTTGAAAATGGTTTTCTAGGTTCTGACATAATATGGTCTTGAAGGTGGTTATTAACATTTGGAGGTACACGCCGACTTTATCAACCCTGAAGACTGAGGCGCAGGCAACAACCTACAATGTTGCTGGGCGTCACAGACAGAAGACCACAATTGACATGTTCACCGCCGCGAGAACTTCACATTTGATACAATTAATTCATCTCGGTCTACCAGCCGTGTAAGGCGGTTGGTATCTAGAGAATTCATAATACTTAGTCGCCATGAAGGCTTCAAATCATACTTCACATCTGATAGTTACCTTTAATTACAAGTCTCTCAGTCACAGCGCGTCGAAATGATTAACTGAAATGAGGAATAATCATTATAATGTCTAGGTAAGTGGTATACATTTTTAATTTCATCCATAATCACGTGGCAACTAGAAGAATTACGTCACCGGAGTTAGATAACCATAACTACGGACCCTGTAAAGTGTGTACGTCAGTCATTTCCCCAAGCACGTTACAGCGGTGAGATAATTTGGCCCTCCCTCTTTTATATAGGTATATAACACTGTTATTTATAGGTACATATAGATCAACGTAGTGCGCTCTTGTGCACATCATCAGGTGAGAACAACAACGGAGTCATCGATAACAGAACACTAACGTAAGTTGCGCTTCTAAATCCATGTTCCAGTGTCTTGCTCATGTTTAAATAAACTCGAAACCATAATGAACCTTTGGGTCCCATAAAGAAAGTGGGCTATTCTTTGACAAGACGAGAACACAATCGACTTTTCAAAGAATATCCTGAACCACAGAGTGAGTGAGTGACGAAGATGACAGTTTTCTGGGATGTTGCGCCGAGAAGTCTCGAAGAATTGACGACGTTTCAGAGGTTCTTACTGAAAAATGAGTGAGCCGCGTGCGAAAAGATGGGTTAAAATATAGCGGCAGACCGTACAAGGCAGAATAAAGGAACCTTAGAAGTTTCTGCATTGTCCGCCTTTTTGTGCGCTCCTTACTTGTCGTGTAGGAACCTTAGAAGTTTCTGCATTGTCCATCTTTTTGCGCGCTCCTTACTTGTCGTGCCAATGATGGACGCAGTTTAAACGTTTGAAACGTCGATCAATTTCACGACGAAGACAGTTATCTTCATATTCGCCGCCGTGAGAACCTGAATTTCACCTGGCTAAGAAACGGACGCAAAGAAAACACCGCGTAGGAGTAAGACTTTCCCTCAACCCCTTTTAAAACATGCATAATTATTCCAGTGAAAACAAACTAACTCATATGAAATTTACATTTATAACAGGACAACTTTCAGCGTGATATTCTTGGATTTAAGGTATAGCTGCCAGAGTTTACTTCGTATGCATTTACGATCTTCAGAGGCGACAATGAACTGCTTCAGCTTCGTATTTTTAGGTAAGCATATCAGAAATATTATTCGATGCGTAACAAGCATTTCAAAGAATTCATGGCGACGGAAATGTGTTCAGAAACTTCGTGGGAGCTTCAAAAGACACCCGCCAAAAGACGATTATTGTATATCAAATGTCAATACTGACCTGTCCGTTATATAGCAGGTAATACATTTTTATATAGGCTCAATGGACCATAGTGGAAAAATTCAGCGTGTAGTTCCTCGCAAAAATAATTTTAAAGTAATGGTTACTATATTCTTCTATCACCAGAGATTCCTATTTGGGAATTTTGAATAAGGCTAAATGCAGTCCGACGCTGAAATACAGGATGCTGTGTGCGACTGACATTATCAGCTGGTCACAGAATTACATGAGAAATTTATTAAATATTTGGTGACTCAATGTGATTCGTATCTGTTAGCACTAGATAACAGTACAGCTGTCCCACTATACGCCACGTAAACGCTTGAGGGGAAAGGTGACATAGCTCCTACTCATTCTTTACCTCGGCACTAGATGGGGGTGAGTGGTCAGCGTCACGTCCCGGCCGCGCTGTACCTCCGGGAAAGGACCCCGGTACCTATTGGATAGGAGGCTGGGTGGACCCCAGATCCGGTCTGGACGCAGATGCCAGAGGAAATATTCTCTGCCCCTGGCGGGGATTTAACCCCGGTCGTCCAGACCGTAGTCAGTCTTTGAGTACTAGACAGATCTTCGATATTACCCTCTGGTTGTGTTACTAAACCTACATCAAATTCTTTACATTGATTTTCAAGCAATTTCTTCAGACATTACCACATTAATACAGAGCAACAATCAATGTAATCACAAAAATTAAAAGATCCTGCTTTGCATTTCAAGAGGAGACAAATCACAAGCTTCTCATTAGCTACCGAATATTTACATTTCTTCACACTGCGATTATGTTATCGAACACAGAAACTACACATGTAACGTTCTAGATCTTCACAACAAATTACAATCCCCTGATTTATGATTTCGCAATAATTTCGTAAATAACATATCAGGACTTGGCCTTCTTTTCAATATTTCAAACATTTGCCTAAATCACATTCCTCAGCGGGCAAATCTTTTGTTGCTACATACATAAAAAGAAGTCAAAGTACTAGCAGTACATAGCAGAATCGAATGTCGCGGCCAAATATTTCGCTCCAGGCAAATTCCGAAATAGTTACCTTACGTCATAATACGACCGATTCCTTCCATGTTTTTTTCCAGTTCACTATTCACTAATCATCCTATCACCAGACGCTACACAGTCTGAGCTACTAACCGCGTCATTGTTTGACTCACAAACAATATTAACAGACAGAGCAGTCATGAATTGAACTTGTGCTTTACGGGGACAAGCATCCGACTTCCGCCAGAATCTGCGCTCCAAAAGAAACTCAAAGTAGAAGTATCAGTGGGCCTAATAAAACCACCTACCAGATGTGTAACGGAACGGGGGAAAGGAACCCTTTCGGCGGAAGCAAAGATGCACGAGGTGTGATTATCACTAACGATTAACGACACATTCAATTGTTTAATATCTCGTGCTGAGGTCATACATACGTGGAGCTTTAATTCAACTTCCACTTTACACATTCATGGTGTAGTGCTTAGTCACAACTGTAAGTTAGACATAACAGTATGATCTGAAGCTTTCACGGCGCAAACATTAATAAAATCTTCTCGGGCTGTCAGCCATGTCAGTTGCTAAAACGCGACGTCACTATCCTGATGATGGGACGAAGATGGTCCCTGAAACGTTGAGGTTTTATTAATCAACACGGTTGACAGCCCGAGATGTTATCAGTGTCTACAATATTAGTACACGTAAGGAGAAAGGAAGATTTGACGTGAGCTGTGAATATTATATTTAGGAGTGATCATGGCGTTCGTGGTACTGACCGCTGCAGAAGAATGTGCATTAATTTGCCCCATGATATATGCACCAGTCTGTGCCACTGACGGAGACACCACGCAGACCTTCTCCAGTGCATGTGGACTGAACGTGTACAACTGCCAGCACTCGGAGAATCGTAAGCAACCAAACTTGTGTTCAAAGGAAACACTGCCCAGAATTTCATAGTCACTTCCAGCAAATGAGAAACTTCTCTGAGGAAGGTTAGCTTAGAACTAAGTCTATTCTACGTTGGGGCCTGAGTCTCACCTTGCGTAGGCACAGACACACTTTACGCTACATATTGCTGCATTCTTGATGCATTAGAGAGTACAGAAAAATCACAAATGCCAATATTTTCTTCAATGGTTTCTGCTTTTCTCAGAAAATCAATTTGCGTAAAATGTACGTTGGTAGACTCATCGCAACTACAAGGTTCTTCTTCTCTTTTCATGTACAAGTTTCACAAGAACCAGCCATTGGTCCATATGCCGAATCAGATAAACCAAGTACACATCATCCCACAAGAAACGTTCAAAGTTCATTTTAACATTATCCGCCCATCAGCGCTGAGGTCTTCCCATTGCTCCCTTTCCTTCAGATTTTCCGACTAAAATTCTATTCGTATTTTTCATCTCTCCCACGCCTGGGAATGCCCAGCCAAACTCATCCTCCTTCAATTTTATCTTCCAAATAATATTTTTTAAAGAGTAAACATTTTGAAGTTCCTCATCATGCAGTGTTTACTATCCTGGTAATTTCTCACTCTTGGGTGCTAACAGTTTTGTACTCACCTGTTCCCAAATATTATTAAAAAGGGATAAGGCAGAAATTATAGATGGGGCAGTTATGCGAAATATCCCTGTGTAAGTGCATATTTTAATCCAAAGTATATATGCCTCATACATATTACAACGTCATTCCTAATAACGTTACAAAATACTTAAAATATTACAAATAAAAAACATGTCTAAAATTGGCACATAAAATTGAGACTGGAAAAGATGATAATTGAACCAATTGTATCAATCATAGAAACTACCCCACAAGGAGAAAATTTGTCATACGAAAATATATTCTGCCAGATACATGTAATATCTTGACAGGTGTTGTCTCTCGGAATTCTTAATACATTTATGAACACATGCATATGAAAATTCAGAGTATAAATAAAATTATCATCAGTACTATGTCTTTATTCTGTTATAATATATTTTTTACTTCTATAGCACTCCGACTTCTGAGAAGTGGCGCTTGTGACAGTGATGACTCAAATGTCGACTCTTAAAGCGACGACAACAGGTCCACTGACACCCATGACTGCTCTTCAATGAAATACATCAGACAAATCTTGTTGTAGTAGCATGAGATCATATTACAAAATAAATAAAACAGAGTTTCAAAAATAGCCTATTATTCTTTATTTTACTCTTTTATAACTGCCTTCATACACAAAGGAAACGAATCCTCAATTTTAAACTGATTTCCAAATTCTTAAAAATTCTGAAACTTGATGGAAATGAGAGACAAACCCATCTTCGGAGCTGAAAATGGAGGCAGCACATTTCCCCGGAACATTGGCAGCTACTGACGAGTCTAAACCAGTGGTCTTCAACCGGTGGTCCGCGGACCGGCGCCGGTCCGCGAAAGCTTTCACCATGCTTTCACCCGACTATACCGCTACACTATTCGGAGAATTCCCAATGTTGCGGGGCGAGCGGCGAGTATAGACGAAGTGCGCGGCCGCCGAATGAGAGTATTGCGTCAGCTCGCCTG